CATTGAGTGGGTGGTGTGTTTGGTAGGAACTGAACCGAGGAGAATATCTGTGCTGAAGACCTCTTGTGGCAATCCAAGAATTCTTTTAGCCCATGACTTTCTTTCCTTTTTTTTTTTTTGATCACCTCTTACATATGTTTTGTGTTGTCACTTTCAGAACTCACTAGAACTGGATCTCTAAAATGCACATTTCCTTGTGAACAGAACCCTCATGGGCAGCTGCCTGTGCTGAGGCTGCAGTCCCTTCCTTAAAAACCTGAAGGAAAAAGTTCATGGTTAATTGCAGATCAATGCTGACAATTAAGAAGGTTTTGTTGTTGTTTTGTTTGTTTGTTTTCTCTCTTGTGCCTTGTAGCTGCGTTCTGGAAAGATGAAGAGGTGTCCCAAACTTACCACAAATGGGATAACCCTCACTTCCATACTCAGTGAGAAACAGCATGGAAAAGGTGGGCAAAGATATAAGGAAGTTGGAAGGAGGCTGAGAAGGGAGAGGAACCAGTCCTAGGAATAGGAGGTCATTTGTTTGTTAACTTGGAATCTACACAGACAAGTTGTAAAGCCGCCCAGCTTGTTCTGTTTTCAAGTGCACTAAATATGCATCTAGCTACAGAAGTTTAAGCTGAAGCTTAGTCACAAAATAGGAATTTTCTTGCTCCTGACAGCAGTTTTGGGCCCAGCTGCCACGCGCAGCATGGTGCCTGCACTGTCTCCTCTGCGAGCAGGGCGAGAGGCTTCCTGGGCTTGGGCCGGGCTGCGCTTCCCGCGGCACCGCAGGACCGCGCGGTGCAGGCACGGCCCCGTGTGCATGCGTAGGGTAATCGCTAAATACTGCTTGCATATCTAGTCTCGTAATCACATTTCAGCATTTCTGACTGCTACTTCACAAATGCTGATTCTTTCAGTAATGCTGAAATAATGTCAACTTCTATCAGCTTTGCAGTACTTATGTCGCTATGTATCGTCTTCAGTTGTGGACTTCATTTTTCTGAAAGAAACCCTCTCTGTTTTTTTTTTTTCCCCAGGTATTGTTAGAATGATTCTTAGTTCAGTAGAGAGTTGCACTCTGTAAGAAAAATAAGGACAGGTGTTCAGAAATATTTCAGGAATTAATAAAACTTAGAGATTTCTGGAAGAGCTATTGGAAAGGAGAGCTGGAAGGGATCAGAGTGGAGATATCAGAGGATTTTATTTTATCCCTTTAGGTACAACTTCCAGTACTAACTTTACACCAAAACCAGTAAGCTAAGTGGGGATTCTTGCTTGGAGCTGGAATTCTGCGTGCCTGCCGCGTCAGGAGCGCCTTTGGAGCGTGCTGAGCACTGCTCCCGAGCTCGGCGCGCTCCTCCTGCACTGTCTCTCCTTGCTGCCTCGTCTCCTCCTTGCCCCGTGGCTTGTGCGACTTTTCTGCCTCCCTTTCCAAGGCCAGCCTCCTCCCTAAAGGACTCGCACCGGGCAGAGCCTCTCCACCCCAGCCGGTTGTGCTCTGCTCCTGCCGGTGGGTACCTGCAGTGTAGCTGCTAGAAGGAATGGGGTGCCAGCTTCCTAGCACGTCCCTGCACCTGGGATGTTGTCAGCCAGTCCTGTTGAAGGAGAAGACTGGACACGGTGCCCCTGAGCGTGCATTCACTTACTGCACATTCGCTCAAAATTTTAGTTTTTGTCACAAAAATAGGCATATATATGTAGCATTAAGTACACAGTAAAATATATCATTGCTACCCAGATGTTACAGTGAAATGACTAATTTAATGCCTTAGTTTGCAGTTTATTTTACGTTATTGTAATATGCAATATTGAAATAAGAAACTGAAAATAGATATGTATCCATTCTGTTCAGTACAGCAAGTTAATAATTCACTTGGCAAAAATTCCTCTCATAACACACAACCCGTGAAATGTATTTGAAATGCCAATTGTAATTAAAAACTTTCAGAGCTTTACATTGGCAGAGGTTGTACTGCTAAAACGTAAGCTTATTTGTGGAGAAGGCAGTAGGGGATCCATTTTTCAGTGTATTTTTAATACTAGTTTAATATTAGTTTAACAACCAGGGTTTTTTAATATTTAAATGGAACATTTAATGTTGACACAATAAAATCTGCCCTTCTGATTTTGTACCATTAGGAATGAAGGAATGCAATCAAGAACACATTAAGAGGGTTTTGTGCATTATAATGTCCCAGATGACTGCTTAAGCTTGCTATTGATTCACAATTATTGTTCTGTATTTTTTTTGCTTTGTTTTGTTTTGCTTGCTTATTTGTTTTTATTGTTCTTCAGAGCTGTACGCTATTATTTCTAGAGGGAAAAACCTGACAAATGCAGTAGGTTTTCTTGAAAGGCACAAATTGGAGGAACCACGAAATTCCGTGCCTGATCTCGGCTCCTGAGGGGAAGGGGGCCAGCCGCAGGGGAGGGCCTGCCCGGGACTGCCTGCCGCCTGCTCCGGCTCCTGCCGCCTGCTCCAGCTCCTGCTCCGGCTCCTGCACCCATTCCGGCTCCAGCTCCATCTCCAGGGAGCTGCTGCCCGCGCTGCAGCGGGGCCCGGGGGCACTGGGTGCGTGCGGGCTCCACGGTGCCGGCTGTGCACAACCACTCCATGCGGGGCAGATGCAGGCGCAGGCTCCGGCGCACTCGCAGCGCACTTGTTTGCACGGGGCAAGCTGGGCGCCCTCCTGGTTTGGCAGCCTCTGACGAGATGGATGGGACATGGGGTTACTTTGGGAGCCTTTCCAGTCTGGCCCGTGTTCTCTCCCATTAATTCTGCTGCCGGGAGAAGTTCCCCTTCCCAGACCATCTGGCCCACTGAGTAGGTGGGGTTGTGGGACTGGAGATGCTCTCCAGAAGAGAGACGATTTTAACCTTCAAAGTAGTTCAAAAATTGAAACATTTTGACTTTTGTTTAAGTTGCTTATTTCCTAGTTTTTGGAGTTTCTTAAATAATATAAAATTTTAATTTAACTCAGCTCTGTTAATATTATATCATAGGCAACTCTAGGTTTTGATGTGGGAAGGCATGGCACAATGCCAACTTACTGAATCTTATACCGGAAATATTTTGTAAACAGTGTTTTTCCAGGTCTGTTTATTTTCCTTTTTGTTGAAACAATGAATCACTTTTTCAAGGATGTGACTCCCCTTTTGCCTTGATGAAAAGGGCTGGACCAGATGCCTGTGGAGGGCAGGGATAAGGCCTGGGATAGTATGTCACCTTTGTCTGGGGAACGGCTGAATAATTCATGCTCTGTCTGTTCCCAAAGTTATGCGCTGAAGCTTGGTTATGTTCATTTTATTGTGTGACCAGATATCCACCAGATTTTATTGTGTGACCTAGATATCCACCAGATACCTGGTGGATACCTGGTGGATATCTAGGTTGTGCTTCACTATTGGTTTCTGCCTTGGAATAAAAGGCGTTAGGAGAAGATCTGTGTGAGGGGTCTCACATATGGAGAGGACCTATGTGAGTGTAACCAAGGAGCGTGGTTGTGACCTGTCACGAGATTAGTGTGTAACACATATTCTGTGCAAACTATTCCTAACCAAGATGAAAGAATAATAGGTTTGACATGACTTTAGGCTAGATGAGTATATGCAGTCCGTGCTTACCACTATTTTTGTTTGTTTTTCTTTGATCGTTTGTCTTGCTGACAACTTTTGGGCCTATTCTGCTCCCAATACCTGTTCCTGTTCAGTAGCTCCACTGGCATTTCACTTAGCTGTGGTTTTTAATGAGACTGATTTAATGGAATCACAATACAAAATAATGGCAGAGGTCAGATCACTAGGAAATTCACACTTTGCTAACAAGAATTCAAAAACACATGGAGCAGAAGGTAGGAAAACAGGAGCTCTGACAAGCAATTTTTTTGTTGGGTAGTCTGCAGATTAATTTACACATTTAACTTTATCAGCCATTTCAGTTTAGAAAATCACAAATTATGTTGCAGAAATGTGAAGTTTCTTCAAACGCCCCAGCAGTTTATTTTAGCTCCAACACAAACGTACACCTGCCATGGGCTTTGCTCACTTTACGTTTGCTGGTAGAGGTCAAAGCTTCATGAGGATGTTCATGTTTGTCGCTTTCCAAGACTTCTCAAAGGTGACTTGGGAACGATCGTTTATTCCTCCAAGTTCATTTTTAAAACATTTCTGTTTCAGGTTTTAGTGTAGCCAGTGAATTAACAGAAACTATTTCAGCTTTTTATTTAATTTTTAATGCTGATCTCTGATACCTAATATCTGAGCGGACTGCTCAGAACTGCTAACTAAAAGTTACCACTTAGACAATCACGTCATTCTTATGTAATTGTTATTCTGTCGTCAGCATTGTTCCACGTTTCCCTTCAGATAGACAGCTAGAAGTTTGTGCATGTTCTCTTCAGGGGTGGTGCCAGTGCCATGGGTGTGCCTGAGTATTGGTTAGAAGAATGGGGAAGAAAAACCAGTTAAAAGTGAGCAACATTATCTCTCTTAAAAGTTATTTCTAAATCTCCTAATAAAGAGAGTTTAATTTTACAACTGCTGCTGAACCCTTTCATGTCATTATCCTGTCCACGCTACACTCCATGAAAAGCTGCATTGATGTTCAGTTTACTGGGACATGATACAGAGAACAAAATATAATTATTTAGGAAGTGAGGTCTTAGTCTGTTCTTAAAATGTATATATGTGTGTGCGCATATGTATGTATGTATTTGTACATATGTATCATTGAAAAGACAAGTGCCTAGCTGCCTTTGAGAATTTTATTTAAAGTCTTTGTGTTTTCACATATGATGTATATTATGTGGCATAATATACCAGTCATTTGTGAATTACATATTAGTATATGAGAAAATGATGCTTCTATATGGATGCATATTACTAAAAAAAAGTTACAAATCTTATCTTTGAAATAGATTATGTTTCCTTAACATTCTCAGCTTTGGAGGGTCATAAAATTGCACAAATTCTGTTGCAAAACTGTCTAAACAAGGTTTTTCTCTCCTTTATTTCAGGTTCTACAGTGGAGAGTACAACAAGAGGAGGCTGCTAAACTAGAAGCTGCTATAGCTACCAGAAGAAAACAAGAGAGAGATGAAAAAGAAAGGGTGCAGAGAGAACAGGAGAGGATTCGTAGAACACAGGAGAAAGAGAAGGTGTGAGAAATATATTTTAGGGGATGTTAATGAGTGTAATTGTCTCTAAAATCTTTAACTGATCTCACTTCGTTATATTCTTGTAAACAGTCTTTAGTGTTAGTACAGATGGGAGAAAATGGTTGAGTGAGTCTTGCTGCTGTCTCATTTAGCTTTAAAGCTGAGTGCTCTTCTGTACTTTGTTATGTTTCCAGAAAAATGAGGTACACAAAGACGTAATGTTTGTGACTATCCCAAAAGCACGGGAAAACAGTGCAGAGGCTCTGCTGGCTTTCTGACACGTACAGATTTGTGCTTTTTCAGTGATGTGGCTTAAGAGGACTGAAGGCTTCCAGCGCTGCAGCTGAGCGTGCTGCAATGCAGCAAACGAGCCCTATGCGTGTGCGAGGCTGCGCTGGGGGCCTCGAGCACGGTGGTAATCTCAGCTGTGCAGGGTGTCAGGATGCACGTTACATCATCCCCAGTGCTGCTCTCATGGCTGCCTGGGAAGTGGCTTTGATTCATCAGAGCCATTTGAAGCCAGGATTTCATCTTAACAGAAAATGGGAAATTCACCACAGTACTTTCAGAAAATCAATGCTTTTAGAAAATCAGTTTTGTGTCACATATTAGCTGTATTTCTGATGACCTTTTTATTTTAAAAACAGGACACTAATCCAGAAATTTTTAATATTAAGGTTATAGTTTTTGTTTTTTCTTCACTGAAATCTTGCTTGCTTAGAGTCTCTCATCTGTAGAATATTTGTTAAGAAGGCGTAACTATTTTTGGAAAAGATAAGCAACTGTAGAAGATGATTCTTATCAATTGATTATTGCTGATGAGTAAGCAATCCCTTTTACATTCATGGGACGGTGCATGTTAAAATGTTTGCAAGAATGGTCACTAAGGATTATATTCTTATAGCGTACTTGATAGAAGCAGAGTTAGCAGAGATGGAAGCATAAGGCCAGACTGTTTTCTGGTAGTGCAGTGGAAGCTTAAGCGATGTCAGTGTGCCGCCTCACACCGCAGAACGCCTTGATAAAGAAGAAAGCTCAGTCTGAGTTTATGTTGTCATGTTGTCTCTTTAGCCTTTATCTTCTTATCTTTATTTACCTGTCATGTCCCTTGGTAACATATGTTAGTGGGAGCAAACAAATGCTGACAGTAGCCAAGTGTAGGCAATTAGATTCCCTAGAAAGGAAGAGATTCTCATTTCAGTAGAGGTATCTACTGCAGTAATAATCTTTGCAGGGAAAAAAAAATAAAGACAGTTTCTGTGTTTGCTTAAGTTGCTACCAAAATATTTTAATTCACAACAATTACTGAGAGCAGAAAAGAAATTATAGCAGAGCAAAATAAATGGCTTGTGTAATTTACCTTCTTGGAATACTCTGCAGGCTGGTATAATTGATTTCCTTAGCTGAAGAGTGAAAATAAAATCCTACATTACTTGGAATTTCCCTATCAATCTTTATAGTATCCAAGTGTCCTTTCCTTGCTTTGTCCAACGAACCATGTCTTTTTGTCATGTCAAACACGTGGAGAGCAGGAGCCCTTGCTGCATGCTGTATTCCACATGGCAATCTGGTGTGACCATTAGAGTCTGTTGGTACCAAGAAATCCGCAAAGAAGCGCATGATCGAAAGTGAAGGTGCTGAAGACTCTTCCTCTGCAGATAGAGGCTGTTGTCTGCTCAGTATTTCTCATTGCTGCAAGTCTCTAGAGCCAACATTGGAAAAGCAGCTTAATTCCAAAAGGGTTTTGATTTGTGAGCGACACGTTCTTGGTTGTGACTGCAGTCGCATACTGGATGTACCCACTGCCTGAAGATTGTACTTATTTGGAGTGGTCACCTGGCTTTGTTCCTCCTCTGCAGTTTATTTTAAATATAAAATATAGGTTCTTGGCAGAACAGTCTTTCTGGCAAAATACGCTAAATTATACAGTTAACAAAATTGTAACTGATTACAATTAGTTGTCAAGAACTCCATTTCAAGAGATGTTTTTCTTCAATATATGCAGAGTCATTTTGCTTTCCATAGGAAACAGGAAAATTCGGGGGGGGGGGGGGGGGGGGGGGGGTGGATCCCATGAAGTCTCTAGTCCAGCACCGTGCTCACAGCAGGTTCAGCTCTGAGGGCAGGCTTTATACCTATAGATTTGGTTTGATTTCTTTATCCTTTATTTTATTTTGTTTATCCTTGTATTATTTAAAATCTTGTAACTTCATGTGTACGTTTTCAGGCAAATCCTATTTTGGGCCTTTTTTCCTTGAATTGAGCAGTATTATGCATAAGTTGCATAAACTTTTTGTAGATGCCAGTTAGCATTTTTGGCACAAACTTCTGTTAAAGTGCCCAAGGGAGTTTTTCAAGGTTATGCAGATGTGCACAGTATTACAAAATTATTCTGTGTGTTTTTTTGGTTTTGTTGTTTTCTCTTCACACTGGCGTATGTTTTCTGCAGTTGATCTTGATTGATATGTCCCATTGCCCTGAGATGCTGGACGTAAGGCTGTAAGTAAGCTCGAGGCACGGGGCCCTGCAGAGCTTTGCTGCGCGGTTCTGTGCAGCACGGCTCGCGCCGTGCCTAGACGGGGAGCCTTGCTCCTCTGAAGAGGAAGACAATGAAGGGGACACAGACGCTGGATGTGTCTGTATCGCAGCCGGTGCTGACTCTGCATCGCAGCATAGGTATTAATACAGCTAGTACACCATTAGATCTGCTGTTAGGCCTCTTGGGAGCAGCAGTGCTCGCAGTCTCCTACAGCAGCCGGCACAGGATCATTTCCTTGGGCACAGAGGTAATAGCTGCCGTTGGGGCCGCCCTGCTGAGCCCAGAGGCTGCTCATGGTTCCGTGGGCTCCCGAGCTGTGCACGGGCCGGGCCGCTGCCCGCGGACCCGCAGCGCTGCCACAGCCGCTCGTGCAGCCCCGGCCTCTTGCAAGTGGCTCCTGAGGTCACCTCGTCTACATGGAGGAGCCAGTTCCTGCTCCTGTGTCTGCAAGGTGCGTGTTGGCCTGCGGGGCTCGTGAGCGGCTCTGAGCTTAGCTCAAGGCACCATTCAAATCTCAGCAAAGTGACCAATCAATTTTGGTTTTAAGGTGGAATTTGTAATTTATGTGATGGCAAAGTGGGAATAATAATTTGCTACCAATTCTGCCTGTTTACCTTTGCGGAACAGCTCTGGCTTTAGGAATTGAATCCCATGGAATTTGTTCCAATGCAAAACTCTGTGTTTCTCTTGACCAAATTTTACTTTAAATCCTGATTCCCCTTTTTGCATCAGTAGAAGTTCCTGTTTTCAGATGAGGTTCCCCACTCAGGTTTCTCGCTCTTGCAGAGGCTGCTGTTCCTCACACCATCTTGGAAAAGCTGCACAAAGGTCCCCAGATGCCTTTTCCTCCTGCTCAGTGAGTTCCCCGTCAGCTCCCCGTTCCGCCAAGCCTGGCTGCGCTGGCCTGTGTCCGGGTGTTGGAGGCAGGACATTGAGGTGCTGGGGAAATGGGGATATGGCCTTGAGCAGCTCGGCGGAAGGTTTCGGTGGGAGCACGTGGAGGCGGCCTCAGAGCTGGCCCTGGAATAGCCTAGGCGCCCGTGGCCTCATGTGGCTGCTCCTGTTCTCGAGGTCCTGTTCTCTCGACACCCTCTTATGCTGCTCCTGATGCATTTGCTGTTAACACACGCCATTCTAAAATATAGGTATTATTATAGAAGGGTTAACTTTGCATTTTCTATAGCTTAATTATTTTCTCAACTTGTTTGGTCTCACTACCTTAGCTTATGAATGATTATTGCTTTGTTTACCGTGTTTGTTCAAACTTAGGTGAAAAAATACTGGGCTGAAAAACAGCTCAAGCAGCAAGAACGGGAAGAGAAGAATGTACAGCGCCTGGAAGAAATAAGAAAATTAATGACAGAACAAGCAATTAAAGACAGAGAAAGGTAAAAGAAAATAAATGTGAATAACTATACCTCCGTAGGAACTTTCTGTAATCTAATTTGTTCTGATCTTCCAACCTTGCAAATTAGAATAAATTGAGATAAGTTTTTTTTCCCCTGTCTGGCAGCTACTCCACTCTGTATACACAGGTTGCGTCACAACTGTCCTCTGGAAGAATGTATTTGTTACAATACAATCAATCAACCTTTTAGATCTATATAAACCATAAACTGCTGCAAACATAGTAAGGCGAACACACTAAGACCGACTGTCTCCATCATGTTTTTATTCTAGTTGAGTAAAAGGACCTTTTGCCTTCCTTTATAGCAAAATTATTTGTAGTCAGGTTTGATTTCTTTGAGAGAGGGGTGCGAGCAGCTCATTGAGCACATACAGTCTCAAAGATATCAAATACTTTTTTAGAGGATCTTAAATTACACATCAAAATTTTAAGACATTCGAACTATTGAGTATTCAGACCTTAGTCTTGGTAACAGTTATTGGATCTGACTTGCTTTATGAGTGCTCATGATTGTTATTATCAAATATTATTCACTAGCAACTGTGAAAAGCATCGACTGGATGCTGTAGATGCTCCTGCCTCATGTGATGTCATTTAGGACTTCAACCTCTTCCCATTGGAAGCCTTCCCTGGCTTTTGCAGCAGGGTATGGCCCACAGAACTTGACTTCAGACAGCAGTGTAATTTTGTATATTCCTCTATCACACAGAACAAGAAAACAGCTGTGTTACGTAGCCAGCTTATGGTTGCTGTCCTTGTGAAGTCCAATCACAGATTTACTGTTTTAGCATAGAGAAACTCGCCAAACTGCATGGGCCAAAATGTAATCAGAATAGGGTAAAGCACCCTTAAAAGACTAAACCTGGGTTACTCATCCTGTGGGAAACACTACTTGGATCTTATTTTATGATACCTTGCTTAATGTTAGGACTTAGAATCATAGAATCGTAGAGTTGTTAAGGTTGGAAGGGACCTTTAGAGATCATCTAGTCCACCCTCCCTGCACACTTAAATGTCCATGTCCTTATGTTACAGATACATGTATGGCTTTCCTTTTAATATACCTGCAATGACTGAAGCTCAGTTCTTTCTCTTCATCTGAAGTTGAAAGAGCAAGATCTGTTTATATTTTTTCAGCAATAACTGAGTTGTCGTTTAGGTTTCAGGTGCTTTTCAAATGCTCTGAATATTGATATTGAGTAAAGATATTTACTTGAAAAATCAAGGTTCTAAAATATGGTGATATGAATCTCAGAATACTGCCATTCATGGCTTTTGGCTTAAGCACTATCTAAATAGCCAGTCTAATTACATTTAATAACCATTACTGAATGGAATTGTACTTGAAACAAAGCAGCGGTTTGGGCAGAAGAGACCAAAACAGAGTTAATTAGGAAATGTCTTCATATGCTAGACAGGACATTCTTCTGATAAGCGTTAGCTACTCAAACTTCTTTAGAACTGTTAGATATGGTTGCTTTACCTTTTGTAAACAGAGCATTTCATCTTGTCATTTGAGACTCTGATGTCATTCCACTTTTTTTTTTCTGTTTCCTTTTATATGTAAATAATCTTAGAATTTATCTTTCTAATTCTTCTGTTTTATTCCATTTTTATCCAATGAACTCTAACATTGAATTAGTTTTCTTTATCCTCTATTTTTATTTAAAGTGAAATTCAAGTTTTGATTTAAAAAATAATATTTTTGAGGATTTTTTTTTTTCCCAGCAGCTCATTTTTTTTTGTCCTCTAAAGCTTTTATCATTAACTATATTGAAGCCTCGGGGCAAATTATCTTCACTGATCTGTTCTCAAGTTCCCTTTCATTTAGTAATCTCTGTGGTCAGTCATTAGTTCTGCTTAAAAGATAAATTTATCAGAGTAAATCCAGTCTCATCAAAGACATGCATCTGTTTATGATTTATTGAAACAAGGCCATAACCTTGCAAACACATGAAAAACTGAGCTGAAACTCTGGTGCATTCAAGCAAATGCAATCTGCAGAGATTCAGTACTCACAATAAATCAGAACAGCCGGATCCCCGTGGGGAGATGGTGGTAGAGAGCTCTGAAAAGGAGCTGCTCCTTGGATTTGTGAACAAGCCCCACAGCTGAAGCAGCACATACGTGTGCACGGATGGCTGAGCTTTCCACAGAACCGGCCGGGAGAGGTGACTCCGAAATGGAGTTAGCACCGTGCAGGGAAAGGAGTTAGCACCGTGCGGGATGCAGCCGGCACGGCCGCTCCTCCAGGCTGCTGTGAAGCTGTCAGCCGGATTAGCACGACACTCCCCACCACACTGTGGAAAACAAAGCTTGAGGAGACCGTGAATCCTTGGAAATTACACTAGTCATGTTTTGAAATTATTTAGAGCTTTCCATCTGCAAAGCCTTGCAAGCATTAACCAAAAATGGGCAGAAAGGTGTTGCTGTTAGCCAGTACTGCAGTGCTCCGAGTTCAGCGCGCGTCGTTTTGGACAACGTGTTGTCCTGAGTTTGGGAGCCCCGGTGGAGGACGAGGCCGGTGTGGAACTGCCACTCTCCTGCGCGGCTCCGGCCTCGGAGCCCCCCGGCACAGGGCCTCGGAGGACTGGGCGCGGGACACGAGGACAGGCCGGTGTCGCTGCTCCGCTCCAAAATGCTCGCAGGCTTTGGGGGGATGGAAGAGACTTCTGGATGCAGAGGCTGACTGTTCCATGAACAAGGTACAGCCTGGAGAGTACATAGAAATTGGGATAGATCCAATAAGATAGTGAAAAATGGGCTCTTGTTATCCTGAATTGCTTCTAAATTGAAGATAAAATCAAGCAATCATGTTAATAAAAACCCTTATTATTACAGAGTCCCTCTGGTGCTCTATTTATTCAAGTCTCCCCTGGTAATTGCGAGACACCAGATAACCAGTTACGACCAGATCAAAGCAAAGAATTAAAGGCACCTGGAACTGGATGTGGATGAATTTACAGTGACTAAGACTAAAGTCACTAAGTCACTAAATTTTTTGATCCACAGCAGCTCCCCTGAATAGGTGGCTGACAATGGAGACATTTAGCTGGCTTAGTTAACAGGTTGGACCGCTTCCCTTGTTGGCCTGGAGGTTGCCGGGCAGCTGCAGTTTTGCACTGCGTGCGCCCTCCGAGTGCTGATCACCCCTTGCCTCAACCCGGGGGCTGGAGCTTAAGTTCCCCTTACATCTTGATCAAGCCACAGACACTGAGAGTACTGAGTTGAGCACAACTCGCAATAAGCAAAGCTACCTGCACCAAAACGGGAGAGCGGGAGGGAGCTGTGCTCCCGTTTCTGTGTTCCCAGCACAGTTTGGTTCTGCATTAGCTTCTTCTATGCAGGGAGTTTTTATCAGGTCCTCCATATTGCTCTTTAAGTGCAAAATGGATAGAGTGCATATGGGCTATTCTACAGCAATGTTCCCTTAAAAAAGAGATTTTGCATTAATGTTGCAGGGTGAGAATTAAATTGGCATGAAATTGTGCAGCTGCTTTCACTCACTACCTACGTGGAACAGATTGGGACCGTTCTGTTGTTCAGTGAATGGGAAAAATTTGTGTTTTAACCCAGCACCTGTACAGCTGCCAGTCCTGGCCCTGCATTCAGCGCTGCCGTGGGGAGATAGCAGGAAAAGGACAGCAGTTTGCAAGGATTATAACTCCGTGCCCATAAGAAGCAGAATAGCGACTCTTTGCCAGAGCTGAAAGAATCTGGAAAAGCTGTGGGAAAAATAAAGGATGTGGGGACCACGCAGACAGCGGGGCAGGTTGGATGTGCTGGTGGAGTCATGTCCTTGCAGGAACTTGGTGCGGAGCTTGTGCCGGACACCTCCTCCTGCAGCTGCGGGCCGTGCCGGGCTGCGCTCCAGGCTGCGCTCCGGGATGTGCTGCACTGGGCACCGCCTGCGCCCCTGGAGCTGGCTGCAAGCGAGGGCACCGCGGGAAGCGAGGGTGCTGCGGGAAGCAAGGGCACTGTGGGAAGGTGCCATGGGAAGCAGGAGTGCTGCGGGAAGCAGGAGTGCTGCGGGAAGCAGGAGTGCTGCGGGAAGCAGGAGCGCTGTGGGAAGCAGGAGCACTGTGGTGCGCGCGCGGCAGCAGCGAGCAGGCCGTGGCCAGCTAAGGGAACGCGCTCGCCGGAGGGCAACTTCGTTGCCTTAAGTTCCACTGAACTTCCCTGACAGTCGTGGCCACTCGTTTCTTCCTATTGAATATTTATGAGAGAGCGTCTGAAAGGAGAGTTTTAATGAAATTGTGCTTATCAAAAATGACATAAACGCATACTCACAATACTTCAGAGGGCAGCTGTACTGGAACTAATCAGCAAAGCTCTTTTTTTTTAGCTGTTGATTTATTAAAATTATTACTGTGGTACTTAAGGTGAAACAGGAGTATTCAAACATTTTAATTTTAAGTTTTCTATAAAATGAAGTTTACTTTGAAGAAAGACTAGCTAAAATATTACTAAGTATAGTATAGTAAGAATAGCAACGACTGTATTTGGACATGACACTGAAATCAAAGCTCCAGTAAACACTTAAGATCAAGTACAGAAATACTGGCAGGATGTTCTAAGCTAGAAATGCGTTGTGGAACTGGGAATGTACTTGCAAGGCCTCCTGCCTTCCCCGCGTGTGGACTTCGTGGTGCTGCCTTGACCCTCTGATCATGAGAGGTCGTTTGATCCATATCGGCCTTGGCCTCTGCAGGGTGGACAGCAGACCATCTCCTTAGGAAAGGGCGGTCATGAGAGCCCAGTTGCCACCTTCCTATGAGCAACAAGTGCTCCTTCAAGATGCTCAGTCCTTGTGCTGTCCTTGCCTGCCTGTCTCTGACTTTTGGTGGTTATTTGCACCTATTCAGAATTATAGCAATATCGTAAACTGTTTCTGTTGGGTTTTTGCCATGCTGTGCGCTCCTTCTGTGTGCATGAATGTGTCTGAAGCCGAGACCAAGTGTTCGAGACTGACTGCATCTGAGTGTGTGGGGCTCAGGTCCCTTTATTGGTAAGGTACAAAAGGTCCCAAGGCACTGGATGTTGTATTTGATAACGCTGGGTTGTTTTAGAAGAAATATTGTAGTGCAGTGAGCTCAAGCGGAGTGAAAGCCTTGCAATGCAGCACGATTTTCATTTGTCATTTTTTAGAAAAAGAAAAGTAGAATATTAATCTTTTTTTATTAAAATCTCTTCATGTAAAAAGCAGATTAGACTCTTTCCCTGGATAAAATTACCTCTGAAGATGATTGTCGTAAACATTCATCTGCCTAAGTAAGAAGCTGGAAGCGGCTCCCGGTGTCCTTGGGCAGCGCTCAACCACCCCCTGGAGACACCCTTGGCCTGGGGACTGTTCCCGGGCTACGGATGCCATGGTCCCTTGTAGCTGCCAACAGCACTGCACATTTAGTCCCATTTTTTGCAATTTATAGCACAAGTCAAATAGTCCTGTGAGCTTACTGCAATTCTGGGAACAGTAAAATAAAAACAGCCCGGTTTTACTGCAATTGAAGCAGCAGTTCCCTCTGCATCTCCCCAAGGCCGGGAGAAGCCCGGAGCAGGAAGGACGGGCAGACCCGGGTGCCGTGCGTGGCAGGAGCGCCGGGGCTGGCGGCAAGCGCTGGGTGCTCGTGCTGCGCGTGGGCGCGCGCCCGCAGAGCAGAGCCCGGCAAAGCTGCGGCTGCAGGGGAAGCTGCCCCGGGAACAAAGTGCTTTGCACGAACCCACACTGTGTTGTCTTCCTGGGGAAGGGTTCGGTGTTTGGGTCTTGCTGCTTCCAGGAACAGCGTCGGGAGGGATTTGTTGCCCTTATATGAAAAAGTCACGGGTCTGAGTTTCGCTGCCACTCACAGATGTCAGAGAGCATTAAATCTTGGCAAAGAAAATGGGGAAAAAACAAGTAAGAGGACTGTAAATAATGCCAAGGAAAGCTGAGTTCTAGAAATGAAATCTGAAAGGTTAGCCAACTAGTAAATAAATAAAGCATTTTTCTTCCAGATATTTTGATGAACCAGCCCATTGCTTATTCGGTGGGTACAGAAAACATCAGACTAACTAGTTTCTAAACTGCAACACGGCAATGGAAATACCAAGTGAACGTGGACGCTGCGTGTAACGTTTGTGTGCATCCCGTCGTGCAGGGTGAAGTTCAGACGAGCGCTGCGGGAGAGGCGGCTGCTGCGGAAGAGGGAAGCGGCGCTTCGGGCGGCGCTGGCGGAGCACGAGAGGCTCAAGGGCCTGGAGACGCTGCGCCAGCAGGTGCCTGCCTTCCTCCTTGCAGCGCTTCCACACGCGCAGGGAGACGCACACGTTCCCTGCCGTATCCTGTGGGAGATAAAAAGAGCTATCTATCAAAAGCCAATAAATGAAGAATCTAAAATGCAGTTTAGGTCTGACATTAACATTAATTCTGTCATGTTACAGATCTCAGGTGCTTTGTAACTTTGACAAGAGGAATATTAGGGTGTTAAATTGCACTGCAGAAGCTCTGCTATTTGAAAATTGATAGATAATAATTTTTCTGTTTTTTTTTCTCTTTGTATTTATGTTTTGTTTGTATTACTTAAGTCTTCGTTGAGTCTTACTCGCAATTTATGAGTAATTTAAATAGTTTTTAAATTCTGAAAATTTACTGACCCTGGACTACAAGTCATCAAGCAGATAAACTTAACTCTCTGAAGGTTCTGCACCTCAGTTTAAAACTAACATCTCCAGAAAAGCTGCTAATTTTTACTAATGTAAGTCCATGCTGTTAATTTTTTTTTGTCTTGCTGATTTTTGAAGCAGTAATGCTCCTTTAATGCATATTTTTGCATGGAATCTCCTTGTTTTGACTCTGAAGAGTACAAGGAGAAACCTGGATTTCAAATCCTTGCACCGCGGTAAGTGCGGCCAGTAGGGCTGGCCAAGGCAGGTGCAGGCAAGGGAAAAGCTGCTTCCCGAGAGCTGTGGATTTGGGATAAGGGGCCCGCCTGTGGCGGTGCAGCTCCCCTGTTACTCACAGTTAAACATACAGTGTTTGAGGCAGCCTCGACCTCACCTCCGAGCTCGCCGTGGCTTGGGACTGGCTGGCGCAGGGCCGCGCGCGCTCCCAAATCCCTGCGCGCTCTGTGCCCGCAAGGGCTTCGGCCCCGCATTTGGACCTGCGGCGTCGGGAGCAAAGAGGACGTAGGAGTAGAAAACCTCAGGCATCGTTGGGATGAGGTTTCAGTCTTTCTTAAAATGCTCTAATTCAAGTCAATTTCCAGTAAATTATTTATTTATTTTTAAAATTCTGATTCAGTTAAATATTTTGTTGTAAGAACAGTATTGATTTTAGTGCCAATTAATTATTAAGAAGAATTGTGCTAGGTCTTTCCTAAGTTATTGCATTGGCTTTTGCATCATATTTCATGAGTGGCAGCAGTGTTGGTGGATCTGATCATCTCTCGTGACTAATCCAAGTCTCTTATCGAGGCACAAATGCTTTAGACCTGCCTTTGACCAGAATCCTGTAACCTTTGCTTCATTATTTTTCCTAACCGATATGTCCTCTGTGTTTCATGCTAATAAAATACTCCTCCGTGAAACATATGCCCCTCACTTTTATGAGGAAAAAAGTGAGGTCTTTAGAAAAGTTACCCAGTTTGTGAATGTTGAGACCCTGTAAATATAAAGTAAACATACTAAAGACACTAAATACATACTAAATGCATACATACTGAATAGGAGTATGAAGCAGTAATTATGGAACAATGTCACATTTCGGCTGGGCTGCTGCGACTCTCCTGGGCGTCTCGCTTGGGAGCGGCCGCGCGGGGCTGGGCCTGGGGCGCCGTCCACGCGCTGCTCCCCTGGGCCGTGGGGCCGGAACCAGCCGCGTGCCCAGCGCGCTCTGCACGGACGGTGCCTGTTCACGGTGTGGAGGGGCGGGCGCCGGCGGGACACGGGGCGGACCCGGGCTCCACACTCGCGTGCCGACAGGGTGGCGCGAGGCGCCTCTGCCACCCGTGGGCCGGGTGAGACCCCGTGCAGGCCAGCGCTGCGTGACTGATCCCCGCCGCTCCTCACCCGGCCCCTACGCAGACAGTGAAGTTTACTGTTCTCGTACCGTGTATTTCAGGTTGCTGTTGTTGCACGGTTGGATCCAGCGAGGGCCGTGTCTGACACTGTGGCATCTAGAGCTAGGATGGGCGTTGGAGCCGAAGAGGAGTTCGTCCTTCAGAAACCGCTCTTCAAGCTGCATACGTACAGCGAGCAGCAGGTGAGTGGCTGCAAGGGCGCTGTGTGGCTCCTGTATGCCAGGACACGTACTAGTGTGCTGGATACTCGAGCGGAGCCTTTTCCATTTCATGGTGTGATTTACGGGCACCCCCTTCACGCGCTGCGGCGGCTGCAGGGGGGCGCCCCAGAGGCGGCTCCCGGCTGCACCGCGGCTGCACCGCGGCTGCACTGCGGCTGCATCACAGCTACATTGCAGCTGCACCGCGGCTGCACCGTGGCTGCACTGCGGCTGCATCGCGGCTACATTGCAGCTGCACCGCGGCTGCACTGCGGCTGCACTGTGGCTGCACCGCCGCGCAGGGCGCTCCTCCCGGGGCACGGGGAGCTCCTGGCTCGGGAGGCCACGCAGCCCCAGCAGGGAAGGCAGCGGCTGTCGCTACCCACTGCGGCACCGGCCTTTCGTGGGCCAGGGCGACGGTGCGAGGGCAGCAGGAACATGGGGAGCCCGCGCGGGCCCCTAACACCAATTTAAGCGATATATATAGGGAGGGGTTTCTGACTCGCTGCTCCACGTCATCTAAATCTGTGTTTTTGAAATTATTCCGTCTCTGGAATCTGAAGAGTGTATTTACAAAAAGAGAAACACTATTGGTATGGGTCTATGTCATAAAAGCTTTATTGTAGCACTGGATAGGCTGAAATTAAATGATGTCTGTAATTAAGATGTCCAGCAATTCCCAGTATAAGACCTGTGCTTAAAGCTGCTTACTTTGGTGAGAGAGACCTGCTGCAAGGGATGTGGCTTTGCTTGGCTGTGGGAATCTACCCACCTCCGAGTGATGGATAATCTCTGGAAAAGTCTTAGCCTGCAAGTGCTCTGGAAATGCCCATCTGAGCTTGGTGTCCGAGTCTACAGAATGTTGTGCACTTTCCACCCCAACTGGTTCCTTGCTGTGCTTTGTTCAACAGATCATTTCTGACCCAAGGCTCCGCGTCGAGCTCGCTCTTCGAGAAGCCGGGCTTCATAAAACACTTTACGCAAAAGAGATTTTGCCCAAAATTCCTCCGCCGAAGCTTCCAAGGAAGGACATGGAATCCACGGCTTTCAAACCATAGAGGAGGTCGTGTATCACGAGCTGGGAGCTCGGCCCTTTCTGAGAGCTGCTAATAAAGCGCCCACGGGCGCAGGTGGAAGTGCCTGTGTGCCGGCTGGGAATCCCTGTGGGGCTGCGGGCAGCGCCGGGCACCAGAGCGGAGCGTGGTGGGGTGAGGGGCGTTCAGGGCTGCAGGCAGCACTGGCGCGTGGCGGGGTGAGGAGCAGCCGGGGCTGCAGGCAGTGCCGGGCACCGGAGTGGAGCGTGGCGGGGCGAGGGTGCCTGGGGCTCCAGGCAGTGCTGGATGCAGGAGCGGAGTGTGGCGGGGCGAGGGGTGCCCGGGGCTGCAGGCAGTGCTGGGCGCCGGAGCGTGGCGGGGTGAGGAGCAGCCGGGGCTGCAGGCAGTGCTGGGCGCCGGAGCGGAGCGTGGTGGGGCGAGGGGTGTTCGGGGCTGCAGGCAGCACCAGAGCGTTGCGGGGTGAGGAGCAGCTGGGGCTGCAGGCAGTGCTGGATGCAGGAGTGGAGCGTGGCAGGGCGAGGAGCAGCCGGGGCTGCAGGCAGTGCTGGGCGCCCGGGGCTGCGGCGAGGGCCGCGTGCCAGCGAGCGGGGCAGCCCTGCGGAGCGGGGCCGCGTGGGCTGCTCGGCTGCCCTCCTGGCGCCTGACACCAGCTCTGCCCCGCGCTGTGGGCGGCTCCGCTGGCTGTTCCAGGAGGGCAGAGGCCACCAGGGGCCCGACTCCCCTCCTCGCTCCTCGAGGCTGCGTCGGGAAGACGTTCAGCCTGGAGCTGCTTTGCCCGCTCGCACCCGCCCCGCCACGCTGCTGCTGCACTAGTCACCTGTACCATACAGTGGAACCAGTCGTTTGTACCCTAGAGTTCTACCATGCGGTCATACTGATCACTTGTACTATACAGTCGTACCAGTCAGTTGGACCATACAGTTGTACTGCTGAGTGGTACCATACAGTTGTACTGTACAGTTGTGCTGGTCAGTCGTACCAGTCAGTTGTACTGTACAGTTGTACCATGGAGTTGTACCGTACAGTCGTACCAGTCAGTTGTACTGGTCAGTTGTACCATACAGTCATACTGTACAGTCGTACTGGTCAGTTGTACCATGGAGTTGTACCGTACAGTCGTACCGGTCAGTCGCCCCACCAGCTGCTGCAGGGCGGTGCTCGCGGTGCCCCTGTCCACAGGCGGCCGGACGGAGGAGACGCCGGCAGACGTGGGCAGCCAGGCTGGCAGGTACCTCCGTGTGCACCTGGCAGCATCAGCACAGAACAGCCCTGCGGAGCAGCCACTGCAGCTTTTGCTATGCTATATAAATGCGGCCCACATAACTTTCATGCCAGGTTGCTTGAGAAATTGATATTTTTAATTATAAGATCCTCATCATGAATGCTTCTATTATTCCTTGATTATTATAAGAACCAACTTAATCCTTGTCTATATTTGGAAACCAATTTGGTGCACTGTGTTTACTGCAAAGCAATCACCTGAACAATTTCATATTTCAAATTAGTCTGTCGGAATAAACTATCAAATTAGAAACAACATTTCAGCTCTGCGATCTTTATTTTGCATCCGAAAGCCACTGAATGCGATTCAGTTAAATGAGGTGGAAGTTGATGTCATTTGATTCCGTGGCGGACTTGCAAGCGGTGACCTCCGGAAGGGCGCAGCGGCAGCAGGATGCGGGGTCCTGGTTCCGCGGCTCGCGGGGCCCTGCCCGGGGGCCGCGCACCAGGCAGGTCCCCTACGGGCGCCATGGGCGGGCCAGGGCGGAGCGGGGGGAGCGGCAGCTCCTGCG